GTTGCGACATCTGAGCAATCCCAGTTTCAATATATTCAATGGTTGACAGTTTATATTTTCCAGATACAAATATTATTGAATCATTATATATCACAGAAAATAATAATTTTCATGCATATATGTACGATTTTGAAAAACTGCCTTTGTGTTACATTTCCCCAGGTATCAATCCATTCAAAAGAAATAATTTACATATTGAAATGGAAGAATTACATGTAGGAAGAATAAACTAATTAGTAAAACCCATGCAATGATGCCAGTTTAGTGGATGATTATATTATATCATCATAATTATTATTCTTGTCATCACAACTGCAGTTCGGGGATCGAGAAAGTTCCCCGCTGCATGTGCCGTAAGATTTTCTTTGGTGCCCTCTACTTGGGAACACAAAAGCGATCAAAAGAAATCTGCAGCATCCATTGAAATATTTGGGATATTTATATTTATATTTCTAACAACCTTTCATTTCCTAGCGACTTGCTTGGCAACACCTCATTTTTGGCTTTAATGCGCAGAACGTTCACACAGATGATGAAGGCAATGAGTTTTGTCCCCAAGCCGNAACTATAAAGTCGGCATCAGATTTGCGCCCTCACACGGAGGAAAATACACCAACATACCCTGTCTCCAACACACATACATACATGTTCATACATGTACTCATACAGACATACACAGAACACATGGAGACACGTCCTTAACTGACCTTAGCTGTTGATAGGAAGTTGGGCACTATACAATCATTCAATCAAGACAAATATGTGACAACAATCTGATCAATTTTCTATATAAAACGTGGTAGAAAGAGTGCAGAGAAGTACCAAACTATCAAATTTAGGTGAATCTGGGAAAAGTCAGTAAAATTAGATATATGTAACCCTTTGCGAGCATAAAATTAGCTTTGATAATTAACAGTCGTGCGTACACTGCCTGGATTCAAGTTGGTGTAAGACAGCTTCTACCACAATACGCTGTGTTATTCCACTCTCAGATCATTGTATAAACACGCAGACTGTTAGATAAATATGAGTTATATACCACACGTGGTATATGACCTTCAAGAGTTTTGATTGGTCGAGAAGATGAACTTTGACAAGCACATGTGTGTATGTTATTTCCGACTGATCATAAGATTGTGGTAGAAACAGATCACACGACTCGTGGTTGTTGAGTATGGTGTTTATTTCACTCTCGTTAGTTAATTTTCAAAAGTTACAGAAAGACACGAGGTTTTGAGGGTCTTTCTGTAACTGTTGAAAATTAACTAACGAGAGTGAAACAAATACCATATTCAACAGCCACTCGTTGTGTAACCTCTATTTATTAAATGATTCAAACAGAGGAGGAATATCACCAAGCCTCCATACAAGCTACACTTTTACTGGGACACGTGATACAGGGAATCGCATTTCTCTTCCAATTCCCAGACTACGCCAGCCATGTTTTCTTAGTACCCCCAATACTTGATGCATTTCGTCGCCTGTTTGTGGAACATTGTATTCCGGGCTGAAATTTATCACTTTCTCTTGTCATTTTAAGGTCGTATACTGTACAAGCGAGCGGTTCGCATACTTCTTTGGTGATCTGACAAGTCATGTTGACTTACTTGGAGTTTCTAGGTTTCTTGTTAGATTTACGAGTATATGAACGGAAACAAAAGAAGCAATATTAGAAATGCACCGCTAAAATGTCTATTTCCGTGTAAAAATAACCAAAGGACATTCATCCGTTGGGACACATATATAAACAATGAAGCAAAAGGTTTGTGAAAATCTGTCTCCGTTACAGAACGTCAAATCTAATCAGGCATTCGTCACCGAGACTTGGCCAGAGACGTACCGTGATTCCGTAGGTGATTTACTTACCAGCCACTAGGGCTGTGACGACTGACGATACTTTGTAGGTCGTCGTCCACTTTCCGGAGGGCGCGAACGTGTACAGTCCCATCAGAACCAGTGACGTAGTTCCTAGCAACATGCCGAGCACGTCCATAGCGCGAACCCCCAACAACCACGCTGCAAGAAACCAAACAAGGTCATTAGAATCAAGTACCCGTAAACAACATGCACTAGTAATAGACTGCCCTGAATACATAATGGAGTAGTTTTACTGATCTGGGTCCACTTACTCAGGCATTGTTAGCTTAACAAATCATTAAGACACAATTTCACAATGAGGCTTTTGAGAAACATCTTCAAAATATATATTTGGATACATACATGCACAATGTGAAGCTTTGAAAAGAAAATGTTGCTAAACTAGTCAGGCTTTCAACGACCTGGTCCTCCGGAATGTCATCCTCGATAGCCAGGGGTTACGCTCACTTTCGCTCTCTACACCCCTGGAATATGTCATAGCTAAATTGAAGGATCGGTGTGCGCCACCTTGTTGATGAGACAAGAAGAATAGTTCGACCCTTTGATGTACATCGAAACAATCTCGCGGTTACGTAACAGTAAAAATTGACAGGCTATGAAGTCGGGCGTCTCTCCTTTGTAATCTTCAAAGGACAGGTATCAGCCTAAGATCGGTCAGGTTTTTTTTACCCGAGACCAATCAAACAGCTATCTTCGTGCCTTCAAATTTGCAATGACATATTCCAGGGGTGCAGAGAGCGAAATGGAGGGTAACCTCTGGATATCGAGGATGCCAGAATGTACAATGTAAATATGTTTTCATGAGATTTGCGTTCATATATCTATTCCTTCATGAATTACAGCTCACGGGTGACAACTCTAACTTAATAAATGCATTTCTGATAAATACTTATTACTGTAACTATTGTAAGGCAGCTTTCTGTACATGGTTGCCGTCAACTCGGTTTCATTCTTATTTTCTATAAGTAAAGGATACTTTGTAAGCTTGTCATATCATATTAAGCTAATTTTAATGAAGTCAGATTCATTTATCAAAAATTAGAAAACACGTATAATACATCAAGAATTGAAAAAAAAAATAGATATAAAACTCACAATTTTTTCATCAAGAATTGAAAAAAATGTATTAGATATAAAACTCACAAGGCAGACAGGACGCGCTGACAAATGTCAACATGGAATTGAGTTATACCACAGTAAAATTACAGCTAGGTTCAGTTTCAGTTCAGTTTCTTTATTTCCGAGAGCCATCCGACTCCTCCGTTAGGTGATAACATGTACCGTTGCACAGTAAATTATGCAAAACCAATCATGACATTATACAATATTGCCAGAACCCCTGCTTTTGATTTTCGCCTGCTTTTTTCCCAGTTTCAGTTCACCATTTTAACAGACACGATACACAAATCTCATCGACTCGGGTTCCATGGAGTCATAAAGTTCAGTTTTTCTTTTGTTCAAACTTTCGTTAATACCACGAACTTAATTAATAGATTCCGTGTCAATACCGACACTTCCTGAATATTCATGAGCCACTGAGTAAAATGTTGCATACCAAAATCAAGTGTCATTATTCAATACTGTCAAGTACTACACTATATCAACTCTATTACCTGTCTAGTTAAGAATAAAAAAAGGAAATTCCATATTTTGAAGACCCGTCATATATGTATATAATAGACGGTAATTATATTACCGAAGGCATTACCTTCGGCTGTCTTTAGCCGAGGGGACTATTGGTTTTATATAATAGCTATATTTTCAATTATAGTATATTAGTCCTATCTTCTTGTAATATGACGTATATGTACATGTAACTGTTCTGTTTCACTTTGTCTTGAAAAAGGAGCGGATCGCTCCGAAAATTTGACAACCTAAAATTGTCCACACTGTTGGAATTACTTCTTTGCCCCATATATAATAGACTGCATATACATGTATATATATAAGGCATGTGGCCATCTCAGGTAAAAATAGCTCGATATGTATGATCCTTCCAGTCTGAGTATCACTAAATCTGGCATTACAACAGGTTGAAATTATATACCAAATTCAAGATAGACACCCGCGGAATACCGGATTGTCATCGTGATATGGCCAGTGGGTGTGACTCGCACTATGTTTCTGCCTGTCATACCTATATTTATAACTCGATCATAAACAGAATGTTGAAGCACGTGTTGGTAAATGACTATACACACATATATATTATGGTCAGTTACGTTGACCATGCGTCATACATGTATACAGTACCTGGTGGATTGATGAAGTCACCGGAACATGAGACGAGGGTAAGGAAATATTTACACCCCACCCACAGTCCATAGTGTCCCACTCTGCCGACGGTGGCCTCGTACGTGATATGCCAGTAAGGTGTAGCTATGGCGATAATGTGGAGGATCCCGCCAAATATCAGGAGGACAATGGCGATCAGGGCGAGCACAGAAAACTTCTTAAAGGAGGCCATCTTGTACGTGTGTGTCGTCTGGTGGAATGTTATGACTGAAGTTTTACTGGAGACATCAGAAGAGGGATGAAGCACAGGTGTGAATCAGAGGACACATTTACCTGTGGAGTCACTCACGCGTGACTATCTTTAATCCTATCGAGAAGACGCCTCGGGCTTTATCATTTGACATGAGTAATAGTACCGCCCTTTTCCTCTCGGACTTTTTGTTGCAAAACATAATACACCGTTTAAAAAAAAGAACCGGACACTCCCTATAGTAACCTTCGGGCAGGATTTAAATGTCGGCCACTATTACCTGTTATCAGTTTGTATTGTNGTTCCATGAACTTATCTTAATAGAGCCTACTTTTAAGGATACATCACTGTCCTGTCTGTCCTAGTGACCATCATGGCGGGAACTCGCCGTTGAATGAGGGTTTCCGGTGCGCGAGTTGTGGCCGCGCGCACCGTTAGGTGATGTAGCGGACGTGTTTACCCGAGTCACAGCACTGTACGAAGGAACACTATTGCCTGAATTGGTGTCAACAGAGGTTGGCGATCGTCGCTCCTTCACCGAGCTTTGTTTGATAATCGGACCATCATACAGCCTCCCATCCACAATAAGCTTGTCCCGCACTAACCGCACATTTTTGCCTTTGCCCCGCAGGTCTCTGACTGTTGGACCAAGTTCCCTGCGACGCTGCTGGATTTCCGTAGGAAATTGTTCATTTATGTAAAAAGTTGAACCCTTCAGCCTACGCGCACATCGCAATACCCCTTCACGATCCTTGTTGTATATGAAACGTGCTACGATAGGTCTACTCTTCCCACCAACGATTCTACCAAAACGATGGACATTTCCAAATTCTATGTACTGTTCAGTAAAATGAAGTATGAGAAAATTATTTGTCTGCTTTTTGTAAATACCTTTGTTATTATACGACACTCTATAAATTTACAAATAAAGATATATACTGATATTTTTTCCAGTTCAGTTTAGATCTGAAACAAAATAAAGACATGCTGAAATAAATACATAATTTTAAGCCATTTGTATGTATTGTTTGAATGTCATATGGTCAGATACAAATCCGACTCATGTTTATTTTAGTCTCTTAAATACAGTATTGTTTTTGTTTATATACATGTAGGTGTGTGCACATGTGTATGTGTATATGCGTGCGTACGTACATGTAGTACCCGTGTGACAAGTGCAATATCCGGCAGCGTTACATTTTCTAATCCATGAGGTCATGTTTTACAATGAGGTAAATATAATATTTTGATCACTGATATATTACGTATGGTACATAAATTATTTGATGATCGTTGAGTTTTACAATTAGACATATATCTATCATGCATAATAATGTGGAGCCTGATTTGTTTGTTTGTTTGATTTTGTTTAACGTCCTATTAACAGCTAAGGTCATTTAAGGACGGCCCCCCTGTGTGCAAGATGCATGCGTGTAGTGTATGTGTGTGTATTTTGGGAGGCTGCGATATGTTCGTGTTTGTCTCCTTGTGATAGCGCGGAACTGATGCCGACTTTATAGTGCTACCTCACTGAAACATACTGCCGAAGACACCAAGCAGGACGCCCCACCCGGTCACATTATACTGACAACGGGCGAACCAGTCGTCCCACTCCTAATTTGCTGAGCGTTAAGCAGGAGTAGAAACTACCATTTTTAAAGACTTTGGTATGTCTCGGCCAGGGGACAGAACCCAAAGCCTTCCTCACAGGGGCGAACGCTCAACAAATGGCCAAAAGTGAGGCATTGTCAAGGGAGACATTAGGAAGAAGAAAGTTATTTAGAAAGGAGAGAAGAGATAAGGTCCCAAATTTAGTCGCCTCTTACGATCATGCAATTGGGGGCAGCAGGTACAATTCTTACGCCCTACCTGCAGGGTTGATGACTCGAACCACGGACAATAATCTTATTAGTCAGTAAATCTATTTCCGTGCTCGAATGTAGCACCATCATTAACAGATGTGGATTTTGCTTAGAAATTAGCATAAAAATACTACCCAACTTTGTTTTCTTAAAAGGAATAAACCGCTAGTAGAACACTTCAGGGTAGCGTTAAACAAACAGGGTGTAAATTACGACTTGTGTGCCCGTGTGACTAGTACAATATCCGGTAGCGTGTGAGCAAGGGGTCCTGATAGATAATACTAATAATATACAACGTTTATATAGCGCCCTATATAAATTGTAAAATTACTCTAAAGCACTTTACAAGATATGGATAATAAAACAAGGGCTTACAATCACCTTTATATATTAGGCAAGAAGATAATCATCGCAATGTACATGTACATGACGTCTTTGCAAAGAGCCTAAAATGCAGACGTGAATAGGTGGATATTGAACTCACCATAGCATTCAACATAACAAGAATGTGATGATTAAAAACTGTATCTGAAACAAATGAAATAAAATACAAGGTCATGTTAAATGTCTACTTTAACATTTAAATCTGTGATATATCTGTTCTTAAGATAAAACTACTGTTTCGTGACTTCTCAATGCCGTATCGCTTTTTAATACATACTTACTAATAAATATGTTGTTTTTTTTGTATATGCGATACGACACAATTGCTCTAACCCATATTAGCCCGCGCCGTATCACACCCCAAAACCCGTATCAGTCCCCGCCGTATCACACCCCAAAACCCGTATCAGCTCACAAAACCTGTATCACACCCCAAAAGCCGTATCACACCCCAAAAACCCGTATCAGCCCGCAAAACCTGTATCACACCCCTTTTGGACATTTTTGGTTTTTCAATATTTCAAAAGAAAAATAGATCATAAGATTGTAGCTTTTATTAGCAAGTGTGTAATAAACAGAATAAAACCCTCGACCAATATCAGCCCTCGGGCTGATATTGCAGTCTCGGGTTGATACTGGGTGTGATATGGAAAAAAGGCATGTATTATTCTCTATATATACAACGGATTAAAATAAATCTTATTGTAGGTATTTACAAAAGAAACTTTGTTTAATTTATAAATGTTCATAAATTGTTTGTGGTATCAATGTTACGTCCATGAAGAAATCTGACATTTGAACATTTTCTTAAAGTTATCACAAGTTTTTAATGTGGTCTTTATATATTGAACATTATTTTGACGAATAGATCTAAATTCCAAACACCAGGTATTATTATTAGTATTAGACATTTCTCCTTTTGAGGCAGACCTACCATGGAGCCAGAGACTGACACTGAGAGTAGTAAAATCAGGGAACATCTCAAAATTATTTTTCATTTCATCTGTATTAAGGATTCCTGTCCCCTGCTTGCGACAAAACACTAGAGACCGATCTTTTAGTGTTCCTTGCCTACAGTTACATCCCCTGATTTTCATTACATGTACAACTGATAAACTTCTCTTTGCTGATCTCACCTTGCTGGGGTTTGTTTCAGATTTTTTTTAAAAAGTACAGTTTATACTCAAAACAAATACTCGGTGCATGCTACCGTTGATGGCAGTAGTAGAGAAATCTGAAAATTCACGCCCCTGGAATGACACATAGAACAGTCATCTAAGAAGAGCATTGTCACGATCGCGTGTATTCTTGTTGTACGTTTCGTGTGTGTCTGTGTTATTTGTGTCGTGTCGTTACTACCTGTATGGCGCAACGGAGGTTGCGTAGTGTAAGTGAGTACGCACGAGCGAGAGCCATGACAGTGCTCGATCAGGCCGTGTCGACGGAATAGATGTTTTTGTTGATAATACGGGCACAGAAACCATACAGACTGTGGTAAGTATTTAATTGGGAGCTGCTAGTAATATATGGTATGTTAATAGTGGGTTATTTTATGTTAACTTGGGTTATGTAACCTTGGAATGTTGTTCATGCATTATTCCAACGTGCGGTCCAATCATGCATATCGTCCCGTGATTTGTAACTGTGTACTATGGTTTTATGTACATTAGTTCAATTGTACTTCCAAATATAAACATGTATATTAGATATTTGGAAGGTATTTAGGTTATTTGTACATTTTATATAACGTTATAAAACTTCAGTGCTAATTGAATTTCATTGTATGGAAGCCCATAGGGAGCGTACGGTTAATTTTCATATAACTTGATAAACACGCTTTGTTGTCTTCCGGTTCCGGATATTAAAGAAACGCTATCTCCGTGATTATGATTCCCCAATGACTTAGCTAGTGAAATGGAAATTAAAATGCACAAATGTGACTTATGTTTCAGCATTTTAGGAAACATTTTACAACAACAATGATTGATATGTTTATATAGGATGTACATTGTGCTTGAGAAAGCCTCTTTTTAGTCACCCCTGGGGGAACAGCAGCGGGGACTATTAATTTTGGTTTCAGTCCCAGATTTTGACCTCTGTTGCCGACCACTGTTTCAGCTTTCGTGTGTTTGCTTCTGTCGCTAATTAAAAGATTTTGGATAACTCAGATATCGATTTAGGAATAGATCTAAGATACAACCAAAAGGTGTTCCGAATTTCAAACTAAAGATGTTCCGAATATGAATCAGTCACCTTTGAGGTACCCGAAGGGGTAGACTGTTATATAATATATTGCTATTGATTGATTGAGATGTTTATGTCTGACCAATGACTATATTGGTAAAATTTCTTTTTAAACCAAATTAAATTTGGAATAAAAAGTTCAGGTAGAAAAGCTCAATAACGTCTCTTTTTCTTTATCATCTATTCACGCAATGACAAAAGAAAACGTCACCTAGCAAACTTGATTTGACATGCCGGGTTTGTGCTTGCCGCCGGCACACTACATTAAAGCATAAGCGCAATTTGGCGGACACAAATAACATTTTGTATCGCTTTGCATTCCTCTGCAGTCCGGCGAAACTTCTAATCGAACGGCAGGTGCCGAACATGCGGGACTTCAGGGACATACGTAATCAGTAGGTAGGTGCCGCCTTCACGGCGGTAAACGGCACGCCTGAATCAAGTTCGTCCAAAGTAAAAAGTTCACGACATTTATGGATTTTTTTTTTTTTTTTTAATTTAAATACCATTTTCAGCCGTCACATTATAATTTCAAAGGGTGATATGTTATAAATAAATGCGCCATCATTCAAACAAATATTTCATCAACATTCATATCCCGCCTGACAACGTTTACAACTTTGGGACACTTTACGACATAACACTTTACGGCAGAACTTGAAATGGAAAACCGGAAGAGTGCAGGGTCATTAAAGGTAAGTAGAACATTGCCATATTCAGAATTTATAATAAAAGCGCCCGACACCGTTTAATGTTATCGTTTCTGCGGTGTGGTGGCAGTGGTGACCACGAGGTACCGACAAACAATACCACGTTTTGCCAGTACAGTTCCACGTGGCGATACTGTACCGGCAAAACACGGCATTGACAATATCATATTTATGTATATCGCTATTGCCAATAATATTCCTGTCAGTGTCCTGTCAAAACGTAAGGACAAATGTGTTTAACAGCACTGTATGTATATATATACACGATATGGCCTGTGTACTGCCATATACTGGTTTTCCAATACATTGTTACACCCCTATAGTCTAACACATGCTTTAATAAACCATGATCACACTAAATATACCAAGCTAAGCATTTTAAGGTAGCTGATATTTTATCATTTCCAGTATACACAAACTGTAATGGAAGGAAGTACTTCAACAGCTGCAGCAATACACTGTAAGTCATTTTGGTTTAATTTCTAAACTTCATGTCAGTGGACTTGTTTCAGGTATGGATTCATTTTGAGCAAGATAAAAAGTGTATTAAGCAAAACTGCATATTTATGCATGTTTTTTAATCGATGATTAATTCTTATGTTTTCCGGACGAACTTCCGGTAATTTTTTGTGTCAGTT